CACCAATGGAAAAGTGTTGGATTTTCAAGCTCTCCTATCTGTCTGCCTCGAGAAACAATGGATGGAAACACTGGAGGCTTTTAAGAAGAGATAGGACAGCCATTTTGTCTGAAATGGCATAGGGTATCCTGCTTGAGCAGTGGGTTGGACTAGAAGACCTCCGAGGTCCCTTCCAACTCTGTTGTTCGGTTAGAAGAGCATGTTTGTAGCTCAGGGTTGAAATGAGGGGTCCTTGGTGCTCTCTGAGCTTGCTGGTTTTCTTGCAGACGTTTTGTTACCCAACTAGGTAACATCATCAATGTTAGAAGGGAGTGAGGTTTGCTTCTTATTATATACTAGTAGCTGGCCCTCTCAGTATTGGTGGGAGTGTTCTTTGTGGTTTCTTCATTAGGCTGTTGCTTATTGTTAGTTAGTTTGTCTGCACTGGTAGTTCCTTGATTGGGGTACTATTTGCCTGATTATTGGTCTAATCAATCTATCTATCTATCTATCTATCTATCTATCTATCTATCTATCTATCTATCTATCTATCATCTATCTATCTATCTATCTATCTATCTATCTATCTATCTATCTATCTATCTATCTATCTATATCTGTATTTGTGTGTGTGTGTATACGCATATATCAGCATGCATAATTCCCTAAACACAAGAAGCCAATTCCTAGCATAATTAAGAATATGCTTCTACCGTAAAGATTGTTTTTTGAAAGAGTCATAGTAAGAGGAGTCCTATTATTATTATCCTTCAACTTAAATAACAATAGCAAGAAAATATCATATTCTTTCAACTGTATTCCTTCGTAATGTTTTGTGATAAAGACATATGCCTTTTTACAAAGCTTCTTTCTATCTCTTATATATCAGTTCATCTTAAGATGTTTACACCCATATATATTTGATAAGTCTCAGAGGCATCTAAATATGCATTGCTGATTTTTTTAAGCTTTTAAAGGCCAGAGTAATACGCCAGGGATTCAGATATTTGCATCCCTTTCAAGATGGAGCAATTCTAATAATCAAATTTCATCATTCCAGCACTTGATATGGAATCTGATTCACCGGAATACATGTAACAGGAAGCGCCACGGGTTAAAAATATTTGGATCCTGAAAATTACCTTGGGCATTACAAATCTGTCATGGCGAAGGATGACTTTTTATTGGTGAACTCTGGAAAAAGAGTCGAAATTTGATCGGTTCAAGTGCTTGGATGATGTGAGATTGTCTCATGTACCTGTTTTGGGAAATTTCTCAACAGACTGAACTTTTCTGTTTTACTCATAACTTACTAAAAAAAACCTTTCTGCCACTGTTTGTTGAGGTTATTTTTTTCTGATAAGATCACATTCTACACACACACACACACACCGAGTTCAATGTAGTTCATATTGTAGGTAAAATGGCAGTGGCTTTTACTAATTAATTTCAGGGAAATTAAATTAAATTAAAGCATTATTAGCACCAAAAATAAAATTGGGTATCATATGTATCTTCTCCTTCATAAGCACCTCATCAGTGTGAGACAAAACGTTTCACCTGAGGGAGCCCACAAATACTTAATTACAAAAGGACAATTTATTAACATTTGTCAACTTCACACAGGTTATTCTGAGGCTGGTAATCCAACTTCTGATATCCAGGTTTGGTTACTTACCTTGGAACTAGAATGAGGGCGTTGTATTTTGGTTGCCCATCGTAACCAATTCTTTTAAAACTGGTCCTGTATATACAAGTGTTTTAATGATGTATCAAAGTACGATTGTAAATGGAACCACTGGATATAGCACTAGCATTTGAGGCTTATATACTGCCCCATATGCCAGTTTATGAGACTCTCCGGGTGGTTTACAAAGTAGATGCCTGGTTTGCATATTGCCCCCAACAATCTAGGTCAGGGGTCTTCAAACTTGGCCCTTTTATGACTTGTGGACTTCAACTCCCAGAATTCCTCAGCCAGGCACGCGTGCCTGGCTGAGGAATTCTGGGAGTTGAAGTCCACAAGTCATAAAAGGGCCAAGTTTGAAGACCCCCTGCTTTACTCACTCTGCACATTTCTGACCAATATCTTTAATTTGAGCTCAGCAAACTCGTCTGGATCGGACTCCAGGCTGTGGGCAGAGTTTGCCTGCACTTAAGAGGGGTGTGATGGCTGAGCAGTTAAAGAAACTGAGCTTGTCAGCTTTCCAGGGGTTTGAGACCCGAGCACCATGCAATGGGTGAGCTCCCGTTCCTTGCCCCAGCTCCTGCCCACCTAGGAGCTCAAAAGCATGCAAATGTGAGTAGATAAATAGGTACCACTTCGGTGGGAAGGTAACAAGTGTTCTGTGTGCTTTGGGTGGCCACGTGATCACAGAAAATGTCTTCGGACAATGATGGCTCCCTTGGCTAAGAAACAAGAGTTGAGCACCGTGTCCTAAAGTCGGACACGCCCGGACAGGGAAACCTTTACCATTCATTGCACTGAAACCATTGTCTCCCCAGGGCTTCTCGTGCTGTTAAGGATCTAATAAAAGCACTGAAGGAACCCCAGAAGGTGGGATGACGACATGTTCTCCATGAAACACATTAAGCCACCTACCACGTAATTACTGACGGTCTCTGTCACAACGCTTCGAACAGGGACTTTAGAGCTTCCCATGGCAGACGGTGCTGGGGAAGAAGGTGGAATCAGAGCTGGAGCCATGGCAGCTGGGGGCACAGGAGGAACCGCCGAAGGAGGAGGAGGTGGAGGGGTGACGTGGACGGGAGCTGGTGCAGGAGATGGTGGCGGCGGCGTTTTCGGTCGAACCAGGAGAGGTAACGGCTTAGGCTCCGGCGTGGACACCACTTTGCTGATGACACTGTGGGACAAAGAAAGGAAGAGTCGACATAGCATTAGACCAGTGATGGCGAACCTTTTACAGACCGAGTGCCCCAAAACCGCTCCACACCCGCCACACCGCCTGGTCTGCCCCCGTCCACCCGCAGGGCCACTCACTGTCTCCACGGCCCGCTGCAGCAGATCGCCCAGGTGGCCCTGCAGCACCATGGTGGCCACGTCCTCCACCCGCGCCCCGCAGCATCATCTGGGCGCGACAGGGCGCGAGGGCGAAATCTTGTCCCTGCTGCCTGGCTGCCATGTGTTTGGCTGCGCTGCTCCGCGCGGGCCACGCCCAGGGGCAACTCTCCTCCAGGGGGGCTGCTGGTGAGGAAGGGGCTGCAGGGGGAGGCGGGGCTGGGGTGACAGCACGCGTGCCCACAGAGAGGACTCCGAGTGCCGCCTCTGGCACGCGTGCCATAGGTTCGCCACCACTGCATTAGACGATTCATTCAATTAACCAAAAAGATGCCCAGTTAAGTGGCGGAAAAGACGTGATTCTGTTTACAAAGGACAAAAGTAGCAGCAACGGTTCGTCCCAGCGTCGGAAAGAATTATGGAAGGGAGACAAAAGCGACATCAACATTCTAATACAGGCAGTCCTTGACTTTCGACCACAACCGAGCCCAAAATTTCTGTTGCTAAATGAGCCAGATTCACTTAGCAACCCTGTCACTAACTGGACAACTGCGGTGATTCATTTAACAGCTGTGGCAAGGAAAATCGTAAAACGGGGCAAAACTCTCATAACGATTGCCTTGGGATTGTACAGGCGGTGCTTTCGATAATTTCCCAGGCTAAGTTTTTCTAAGTTTCATATGAACAAAGGCTGGGAAGGATGGTCAACGAAATCATTGTGCTCTACTCTATTTTTTTTTTCAATTGCCCAAGCAGATCCTGGATATGCAAACTCTGTTCTCCGAGGCTTCCCGTTTAGCTCGGAGAGCAAACAAACCACTGCCAAAAATCTAAAACCTGAGCCACAAGTATTTGCTATTATTTAAAAATGCAAACTCTTGTGTTATTGTTTTACTCTGATGATGATGAAAGTAATAACCCTTAATTAGGATAAATAATATTATGTAGTAGATATATTATACGTGGCATGCAACTGTTAATTGCTACCTTCTTTATAATATAAAGCAGAGCTGCGTTGTAATATATAAACAGAGCAGAGCACCTGGCTACGAGCAGGGAATCTATTAAGAGTGGAACAGGCAGGCCCAACAGTTAGGTCCAACGTGTGCAAAAGAAATCGACTAATTTTGCAAGGGGAAAAGGAAAAGGGAAAAAAAAAAAGGAATCTTGGGGATTGTAGACCCAACATTTGTCTGAAATGGAATAGGGTTTCCTGCCTGAGCAGGGGGTTGGACTAGATGACCTCCAAGGTCCCTTCCAACTTTATTGTTACTATTACTATTACTATTACTATTGGAGAACAGAAGAATGCTTTGGAGAAACAGAAGCTAAAGGGTTATACAGGTAATCCTTGATTTAGCCCAAAAGTTCTGTCGCTAAGCCAGACAGTTAAAAATAAATTTTGTCCCATTTTACAACCTCAAAATCGTTAAGTGAATCTCTGCAGTTGTGAAGTTAGTAACACAATTGTTAAGTGAATTCGGCTTCCCCGTTAACTTTGCTTGTTGGAAGGTCGCAAAAGGGGGAATCACATCGCCCCCGGGCGCGCTGCGGCCGTCGTTAATTGTGAGCCAGTTGCCAAGCGCCTGAATTTTGATCACGGAGATGCTGCAATGGCCGTTAAGTGTGAAAAAGAGCCGCAAGTCACTTTTTTCCCCCAGCGCCGCTGTAACTTTGAATGTCACTAAACAAGTGGTTGTAAGTCAAGGACTACATATACTTCCAGACTGCAAGTGAACTTTTGTTTATAGGGGACGGTACCTTCAGCATATCAAAAGGGAGAATCTTAAAGACGCTCCGACGCAGAAGATAATAATGGAAGCTGGTTCACGGATTAGGAAACTTTTATTTTTCTGTGATTATCTAATTAGCATCTTGATTGAGTTTGTCTACATAGCACAACCTTAGCTTGGGAATGGAAAGAAGTATTCAGGACGAACGTAAGAAAGACAGGAAGGTGTTCAGAGCTGTCGCTTCAGCAATTAGTCAGCGCTGCTCTTCAAGTGCGCAATCCCTGTGTCCTGTGGACTCGTGTCCCAGAGCAAAAAAACCCCCCAAAACTAATGGTATACTTTCCTTCCGACCCATCAAATGTGAATCTTCCTATTGTCAGGCAGATCCATTTATGAAAGGTCCAAGTCAACAACTTTATTGTGTATTACCTATATGACATGAATCTCCCCAGAAAAAAAGAGATAAGTTTCCATGGAGCTTGGTAAGAATTAATGCCTTTTGCAGCTGCACAAGTACTCAAGGCTAGTTCCCTGCTTGACCCCCTCCTCCCGGCTTGGCTGGGAGTTTCTTAATATCTACTCTTTCTATGCACAAAGCAGGCAACAAACATCTTTACAAAACTGGACCGAAGGGAAGCTTATTACGGGGTGCGGACTAAGGTGGGGGGAAAATGAATGGAAGACAGCTTTCAATTGCCCCCTAGGTGGTTTCCAATGCGAGGGGATGCTGTTGCAGGGATCCCCTTCTGTGACCTTATGACAAGCAAAGTCAATGGAGGGGAAGCCAGATTCACATTAACAAGCTTGTTAGTAACTTAACAGCTGCAGTGGTTCGCTTAACAACTGTGCCAGGAAGAGTCATGAAGGAGACAAAATGTTCTTCACAAAGGTTTCATTTAGCAGCAGAAATTTTGGGCTCAACTGTGGCCGTAAGCCGAGGACTACCTGTATTATTTTCCATCTTTGTCCTGCTCCCGTTCTCTAATCTTAAGCATCCATCATCTCCTCTCCTCACATCTCCATGAGAAGGAGTGACTGACAGGCTGTATTTGAAATGTTTATTTAGAACATGTGGCCTAGTTATCTCAGGTATCACATCCACAATCTAGTCACCACTCCCTTCAGCTAATCATGTTCTCCAGGAGTAGATGCAGAAACCGACCTGCCTTGCGCCACTGGGATGCGATGGGGTAATTTTCAAGAGGGGTGGTAGACCTTATCACCCCATCGGAAAGCAGGAGATGATAAGTGGCAATGCACAGTGGATAAATCAAAGTCAAATCATTTTAATTATTTCTGTTTATTTATATGTCGAATCCGGAGACCGCCCACCTCTCTCTTGCAGAGCGACCCTGTTTAATACTGAATGTTGCTCTAGTCTTTCCTTGTGTAGATGAACGTCAAGACTAATTTACAAACTTAGGTCAAAAAATAAACAAATTACGAGCTGTAGGGAGATAAGTCATTGGGAAATTGCCACACTGAAGACTTGCACAACAAGACACAGCAAGATGACACCTGCCAAGCAGCCGTAGAGATACAGTCTTCTTCTTTTGAATATACATATAATCTATGGCGGATTAAAATAATGTTCTGTCCTATCTAAAGAAGTATCATAGTCCAAAGAAAGATATACGCTGAATTCTGGCATCTTTGGCTGAAGGACAGCAATAGAAATGCACTTACTTATATACCGCCCCATAATGCTTTACAACACTCTCTGATTGGTTTACAGAATCAGCCTGTTGCCCCCCAACAACCTGGGTCCCCATTTTACCAACCTCGGAAGGATGGAAGACTGAGTCAACCTCGAGTCGGTCAGGATCGAACTCCTGGCAGTGGGCAGAGTTTGCCTGCAATACTGCATTCTCACCACTGCGCCACCGAGGCTCAGCTCTCAATTAGTACACCAGGGAAAAAGAGATTTGTCTGAAAACTTGGACATTACGAGTTAGATTTGAGAGGAGAGGTAGTCCTTGACTAACAACCATTTTGTCATGGTTCCGACAGATGAAACTCTTCAAAGAACTTCGAGGCATTGCTAACACTGGATGTTTTTGCATTGACACATTTGTTTAGTGACCGTTCAAAGTTACGATGGCACTGAAAAAAGTGGCTTATGAGCGTTTTTCACACTTACGACCGTTGCAGCATCCCCATGGTCACGGGATCTAAATTCGGATGCTTGGCAACTGGCTCCTATTTACGGCGGGTGCCCGGTCACGTATAGTATTTTGCAACCTTCTGACAATAGCAATAACAAGAACATTTAGACTTATATACCGCTTCACAGTGCTTTAAAGGCCTCTCTAAGCAGTTTACAGAGTCAGTCTGTGGCCCACCAACAATCTGGGTCCTCCTTTTACCGACCTCGGAAGGGCGGAAGCAGTGGTGGGATTCAACCGGTTCGCACCACTTCGGCAGAACTGGTAGCTAATTTTTTGTTGCCCAGGCCCAGAATGGATTTCCGGAAGCGGCATCCACACCGAGAACCGGTTGTTCACATACTTGAATCCCACCACCGGATGGAAGGCTGAGTCAACCTTGCGCCTAAGTCAACTTTGAGTCAGGATCGAACTCCTGGAGTGAGCAGTGAGTTAGTACTTCATTCTTTTTTTAAAAAAAATAATTTTTATTACCATTTTCCTTTATACAACTCTAATACATATTCAGCAGACTGTGTCATTTTTATATACTTCGGATCAACATTCTATACACTATATACACTATGCACATTCAATATCTAACCCACAATAGCCTTATGTGTATTTCCAATATTTGTTTCTATTGTCTATCCAAGTAGACCATTTTTCCCAAACCGCATAAAATTCCGAATCATCTTTTTCTTTTCATTCTAGAGTGAGTGTATCCATTTCGGCACATTCATATATCTTCTGAATGATCAATCCCTCTGGTGGTATATTGCGTTCCTTCCAGGTATTGCGCGAACGCAATTCTTGCCGCAGTTAATATATGTAGAATCAAATATCTTATTT